TACAATGGTTGGGCAGCTCATCCAATTTCTCTGGATCTGTTTCTCTCCTTTCAAATGAAAGGGCAGAGGTAGGGAATTACCGAATTTGCTTTAAACGTAAAAGTCCCACGATTACTAGTGACCTGCTTAAGCTTCATTTCTACTGCCTCTGAAGCACGGAGAGTCTTATCCCCATCACTGGGGGTGGTGAAAGTGTACATAAAAGTGCACAGGAAACCTTAAAACAATGCAAACATCAGCTGTCATCACTGCGATTCTTTTTGTGGCTTCCTCTTCAGGCCATATTTCAAGCCTTTCACTATTTGTACTAAAGGAGACATGGCCTCTTGTGGAAATTCCTAAAATCTTGGCCTCTACAAAAGGAGACCAAGACTGGTAAGTGCAGGTAAATGAAGCCGATGCAAATGACAATCTCATTTGCAAGTTCTTTGGAAGGAAGTGGACTAGACCTGCTCTCACTCCCCAGAAAGAGGGCTGCTTCTGAGTTTCATGCAAGGGCTTGAGCAGTGCTAAGAAGTCAGAGCCCTCCGATCTCCAGTGTGGCTTTGTCCAAAGTGTGAACCAGCCCTGAAGAGCCGCACAGCCACCTGCAGATGTTTAGGGGTTTGGCCTGTCACCTGTGCGTGTTTACTCATATGAACCCGTAGCATGCCAAGCCTAACACCAACCCTTTCTCTCTTCTTTGCTTGTTTAGGGAATGGCTTCATACTGTTGCCCAGGCTGGACTTGGACTCATGGTAGTCCTCTTGCCTCTCTCTGGCTAAATGCTGGAGTTGCATGTATGGCTAACATACCTGGCTTCTGCCATCAACTCTTGCCTTTGGGATGGAGGGGAGTTATATTATCAAAGCCTTGCATCTAGAGACAGCCCCTAGATAGAGTGTGACAATTTTTACCTACACCTCACTGAATCTTTTTAGACATTAGAGGAAAATTCTGTCATCTCTTGTTTTTCATTCCCAGGATTCCTGTGGTGTTACCTAAGTTCATTGCATAGTGTCTCAAAGTGTGAGAACTTGAATGAATTGAGACCTCCTGGTGTCAATAATTCCTTCTTTTACAGTGCAGAACATTGGAGCATTATATTGATCTGGGGGAAGAGAAGTTGAAATGCCCAGAGCAATGCAGTTAGGAACAAAGTCAATAACTTAAAAGCAAAACTTAGAAACTCTATTACCCTTCTTCTCACAAACCCCAACATGCCCCACCCATCTTCTCTGTGCATCTTAACAGTGCTGAAACCCGAGGGAAACTGGGATACATAATGCCCATCTGATCACACAGCAGAGTCTACTGTCACTTCTGAGCAGGTGGCTTGTCCTAGGTTATTGTTGGTCTTTTCTTTCCTGGAATGAATTGTTATGAAAGGAAATGGAAGTTACAGTTCTATCATTCTGGAATGAATGAGTGAAGAGGAAGGGAACCTCATATCTGACAGCAAAACTAATGTTGAGCCAATAGGCAAAGGGCTTTAAGTAACAAAAAGTCTACGAGAGTTTACAATGTGAGATGAAAATACAAATGGTGGCCAGGAATCCCAGGGACTCCTAGGCTTCAGGTGCCAGCTGTCCTGAGAGAGAAAAATGCCTTTTTCCAAGAATAGAAGGGTTAGTTAGGTGCTTTTCACAGAATAGGCAGCCAATAAATACTTGTAGATTGGCTTGCTAGGCAAGAATTCTTGGCACTTGGTTATTTTTCCATTTCTAATTTATTCTCTAATTTTGATTCTTTTAAAGCCCTTGGCTACAGAGGCACAGGTGAGCAGGGAGCAGCTGGGATAGAAGCAACGTTGGTTCCAGGGCCTATCATCTATATTCCCAAGATTTTTTTTTTTTTTGCAACATATTCTGGGATATCCTAAAGCATAAGAGTTCTGTGTTCAGATAAATAATTGTTAAGTTTCTTGGGCTGCCCACCAAAGATGCTAAGAGTCAGTAGTAAAGGAAAGTTTAACCTTTTCATGACTCATTCTTTCCAAGACGTGGCTATGAAACGGTTTCTCCCTCACTGTTTTTTTTTTTTTTTTTCAGGATACTTAATAAAATATTGCAAAATCCACATGCTTCTGAAAATACCTTCTGAATTTTACTGGTGAAGAAGCAGAAGGCTTGAGAAGGAAGTGGGGTTGTTATTGATAGCAGGGACCTGGGACTATAACGCCGTTCCTATCTTGCCCAAGCTGGTCAGCCACACACTAAGGTGGGTTTTGGGATTTCAGATTTTGGAGTGAGGCTTGAGATGGGGAGCAAAAAGGATGTGAGTATTTTTTGCTCTATTAGGCCCCATTTGCCAGAGCAGATTTGATAACACAAATATTTTATTCTCTGTTAGATCCTCTGCTAGGGCACATTTGCTAACAGACACTGTTTCAGAGGCCCAAGGTGCTCTTTAAAAATGGGGATTATATTATACTCTTATTTCAGAGGTTTTGGGATATTTGCCCTATAGAGCCTGGCTATACCGTGTGCTAAACAAGGGAGTAAAGGGGAGAAATTAGCAGTAGTCTGTAGCTGGTGGCAGGTTGGGAGCAAGAAAGGGTCAAGAACTAAGGTCAAGAGAGGGATGGGTAAGAAAGAAGCCAGCACACACCGATTAGGGGAGAGAAAGGAGACAGCTGCAGATAGTTAAAAAAGCCACAAAATTGAGTGGCTAGGAAGCTCTGATTATAAATAATGACCATGACTCATGAGGCTAATTCAGATGCTGGCCATGTGAGGAAGTCCTTGACCAAGAGCTGATGATCACTACCAAGGACTGGGATTCTCTGTGAACTCATATAAGGAGCATTTATTGCATGGGTTAATAAATCTACAAAACGGCTTCATAAGCACACAATACAAAGGTGAGCCAGAGATAGATCTGGTGTCCAACAAGGCCATGTTCTTAGGGAGACAAGTCAGGACCAGGACTTGGATAAAATAATGCCAGGTAGAACTCAATCAGTGCCTCCAGAGGTACAACAGGCCAACACTCAGAGAAATCAGGTTTCAGAAAATGGATCATATTGGCACGAGGCTTGATAAAGACTGAGGGAGGCCAAGAGACATGAGTAGGATGTACCAGGCATTTCAAGATGACATGATACAAAGACCTGACAGGACCCAAGGGAGGATGTGGATCAGAGAGCTGTCCAAGTGGGTTCCAGAGAACTGTCCAAGGGGTATCCATGGACTCGGAAGGGTGTGGAGACATGGCCTCAGAGCCTGTAAGTCATGCTGTGGGTTGTAAGATGTCTGAGAAGGCGGCACCTCAGAGAGGCATTGGGGTGCTTGCGATGGAGCGTGTGTGTGTGTGTGTGTGTGTGTGTGTGTGTGTGTGTGTGTGTGTGTGTGTCTGTGTGTCTGTGTGTCTGTGTGGTAGCATTAGGTAACACTGTGTGTGTCTGTGTGTGTGTGTGTGTGTGTCTGTGTGTCTGTCTGTCTGTGTGATAGCATTAGGTAACACTGTCCAGGCAGGCATTAGGTAACACTGTGTGTGTGTGTGTCTGTCTGTCTGTGTGATAGCATTAGGTAACACTGTCCAGGCAGGAGACTGGACATTGGGCCTAAGTTAGGGGATGGGGGTCACTACTGAGCGGGGAGGCAGTTCAGTTCCGAAAAGACCAAGGCATCTTTCTGGTATTGCCATTCAGACTATAGGTAAACATGGGCAGAGAACGCAGGTCAGTGCTTTATCAGGGGCACAGGATACTGCACTCCATCTCTGGAGATGATGCCCCAGACAACACGAGGGCTAGAAGAGCCAGAGATGACAGCCCGAGGGAAAAGTCACACAAGACAGCTCTAGAAGGCTGTTTCAATACGGCAAACTGTAGCCATGGTTGAGAAACCCAGCCTTGAAATCCAGAATGCAAGGACCACAGTGGCCTGGCCGCTGAGCAAAAGGGACTTCAACTTTCGAATCTCTCTGATCTGGCAAACGGGAACGACTT